TTGTGATGTTAAACTGGTCAAAGTAAGTGATGTTAGTTGCCATTGAGATGTCTAATGTGAGTGAGTGCCCAATGTCTGGTAATAGTATGCCTGGAATGAGTATTGCCGTTGTTAGGTGCTGTTGTTGGTGCTGATTCCTAGTGACCCTGTGTATACAAAACACTACCCAGTCCTGTGCCAGCCTCACAATCCTCACTATACCTGAGCCCATTGTTGTAGCCACTGTGCCAACCCATCTCATTGAGGGCCTTCCCCTTTTTCACTGACCGTCCACTTTACCAAGCATGGTATCCTCCAGGGAATGGTCTCTTCTAGCAACATGAATCCCCACTGATAACAAATGAAACAAAATGAAATCTTACTGTGTGCATATATTGCTTGGTAGCTTGTGGTTTTTAACTAACAATAATATATCACAATATAGTCATTCCTTAATCTTGTGCAACATCGTTTTTAATAGCTGCCTGTTGGTAATCTGTTCTATAAGGAGCTCTGGTGGTGTAGTGCCTAAGGCATTTGACTGCTAACCAGATGGTTGGTGGTTCAAACCCATCAGCCACTCCGCAGAAGGAAGATGGGGCAATTTACTTCTGTGAAGATTTACCACCTCAGAAACCCAATGGGGATTGCTGTGAGTTGAAATCAACTCAATGGCAGTGAGTTTGGTTTTGATTTTGAGTCCATTGTATGAATTTGCCTCAATTTATATAATCATATTTTTACATAAAGTACACAATGTTTTCCTATATAACTATGCTGCTGCAAACATCCTTGTAGCAAAACCTTTGTGCTCAGCTTTAATTATTTCCTAATACATTCCTGGACCTGGAGTTGACAGCTTTGAGAACATACACGATATTGAAACATTTACCAAAATGCCCTGAATTTTTTTTTTCCTATCAATTTACATTCTCACCAAAGTTGTGTGAGATTTTCATTTAACCCAAACTTGTCAACATCTGGTATTATACATTTCAAAGACATAATTGATGCAGATGTTATACATGTTTTGGATCACTAATTATGTTGAACGCTTTCATTTGTGTATTGTAATTTGTGTATGTTCTGTCCCTTGCCTAGCCTTGTTATTGATTTATAAGAACTTTGTATACAAGAAAGACCTTAATATATCTCTGCTGACATATATTCCGAAAAACAGTACCCCCCCCCCACTTCATGTTCTGTTTTAGTTTTGGGAACACACGTTGTCTTTGTAGTATGTAGCATGTAGTATATAGCACTCAGTTCAACTCTAATCAGTATGATAAGTCTCAAGCCCAGTGTCAGAAAAAATTCACAAGTTCGTTTTGTAATTCAGTAATTGTCATCTGAATTACCCATCCTAGTGTCTCCAGTGGATTTTAAAATTCAGTACTAACAATTTTCTTCTGAAGGCCATCTCTTCTAATGTCAGATGGTTTCTGTTTCGTAAATGCATTAACCTCTTGAATCTCGTTGGAAATATGAATTAGATACTTTCTAGGATTTCTTTTTTTTGGCAACATTTCCCTTTCATGGGAGGTACTTAGCTGACTCCTCAGTATTTGTCTTTATTTGAGTAACTGAGTGTATCTTATGCTCTGTTCTTTTTCTCTCTCTTCTCATTCTGAGTCAGCACAGAGATGGTACATGTCCTTGTTCTAATCTTTTAGCCCAGGTGAAAGGAGTCTTTTGTCTTTGATGGAATTCTGTTTCGATAGATCAGGGGTCCTGTTCCCTGTAGATACCTGAGAGAGGACCACAGCTGGACTCAGCTCCATTGCTCAGTGGAGGTGGCATCTTCCCCCTGTTGATTTGTGCATCTCAAAGTTGGGGGGAGGTCCTGCTTCTCTTTTCTAACTGACACAGAACCCCTCATCTGCAGTGGCTGCACCCTCAACCTCAGGATAGCCGGCCACTGGGAGCATAAGGTGTGTTGAATCTTTCTGCCTGCTGCCCCAGGGGCTGATACCCCATGCACCTCCTAAATATGGCTAGGAATTGGTGGTCCTCATCCCATCCCTGATGGTCTGATCCAGGGTTGTTAGTAGGGTTCTACTGGCGTTCCCATTCACTGATGATCAGGTGGTCAGTTCCCCTTATTCTGTATTTTCCAAAATGACTGTAGACAGTGCATGGTTGAGGCATATATAATGTTGACTTGCACCCTGAGAAAGCTGTTCTTTGGTCAGTGCTCCTTCAGTTCTTCAGATGACCTCAAAGAGAAAGTCTCAGACAGTCTGGTATGTCGCTAACACTCACTGTGTGCTGATGGAGTTGACTTGGACTCATGGCGGCCCCATGCATGTCAGGGTAGAACTGTGTGCCATAGAGTTTTCAGTGGCTGTTTTCTTGGATGTGGTTCACCTTTCCTGAAGTTCCTCTGGGGACTCAAACCTCCAAGCCTTTGGTTAGCAGCCAAGCACATTAACCATTTGTACCACCCAGGGGATGAAAACATCGGTCCCTAGAGACCTTGTGGAACACCGTTCTACTCTGACCCACGTGTATCTCTGAGTTGGAAGTTGCCAAAGGGGCAAGGAGGCTGCATCTTCTGACCTCCTTTAACTGTGCAAGAGGAAGACAGAATCACCATTTATAGCCCGAGGCCAGACATGCTGCCTCCCTCCAGCCCTTTCATCAACCCCAACACCAACCATTCCTTCCACAGCATCCACCACCTTTCCGCTGGGTTCAATAATTTGCTGTAGTGGCCACAAAGAACTCACAGATTATGGGTTTCATAGGCTAGCACCAGGCTACAATTCAGGTTCAGGAACAATACTCAGTCTCTCTCAGCCCACCGTCTCTCAGCCAATAGTCCATCATAGTCTCTCCCCCAGAAGTGCGTGTCTCTCTCAGCAGCTCCTGTTTCTCAGGAGCATGTTTCTTTCAGCAGCACGTCCTTCTCAGCCAGAAGTCAGAGAGACTCCTTCTGCCTCTACTAGGGCTCCTTTTGAGCCTGGCAGAGTGGCCAAACTAATCAATCATAACATCAGAATTCTAAGCACCTGAGAGAGAAAAAACTTCCCAGAACATTGCTTTGTGCCACTAGCAACAGAAATACCCCAGGTGGATAACTTTAACAATCAGGAGCTTCTCAGTTGCTCACAGCAAATTCCACCATGGAGTTTACAAAAACTTATGGCTAGAAAAGCCATAGCAGGTAATTTACTACACCACAGGGGTGATGGCCACAGGCTTTTTGGTTTGCTTATCTCCCATTTTAACAAGGTGGGGAGGGGACAGGAGACAAATTTTAGGTTTAGAGCCTTTGGTGAACAGCTCCATCTACCTGGACTTGAATCACTTTGTTTGATTTTCATTTTTTTTTTGGCATTTACTTTCCATTTGTAGCAAATGACATTGACTTTCTTTTCAAGGAAGAAATATATAAAGTGTCCTTTCAAAGTAAATTTATTATTTTAAAAAATGATGATTCAAGGAGAAACATTGAATTGATAGTAAGATCCACAAAGGTGCCAGGTGAATGGATAAAGTTTGACAAATACTGCTCTGTATCATTTTATGCTCTGTATCATTTTAATCTGTGGAATTCCTGGAAGTCCCTGTTATGTGAATGGCACCCTTCTTGACTTCCAGTAAAGATACGGCTTTTCTCTGATTTTTATGTTTCTTTTGGTAATTTCAGTGGAAATGTGGGAGCTGAGAATCAAGCAGTAAACGTGGTGACATGGAGGCTCCCATTGGTGTCTCCGCTTTGACTCATTTCTCCCTCTTATTTTTAGAAGCTGCCTAAGAAGACTTGTGAATGGAGAACAAATTGTGATAAAAATGGTAGATTTGCATTAGGAAGTGTCTTTGGCAGTGAGGAATTGGGGGTCTTGTTTTCCCCACTGACTCAAATGCCTTTGGAATGTCCATGTTTCTTCCTCATTCTCATCTCATTCTCTCACTATGGACAGATGATGTTTATTGTAATAATAATTCTCTGATGAAATGAAAAGTCAAGATGTTTCTTATAATATTGTGAATGTCTATGAAGATGATGATGATGGTGGGCATCTCTTGAATGGCACCTCTAGATGCCAGGCTCTGACCCTTACACATCTCATACATGTAGATCATGCATCATCACATTTCAGCCCCAACACGATCCTAGGAAAAAGGCATATTTATTTCCATTTACAGATGAACATAGCTGAGGCTCAGAGAGCCTCATGACCTTGTCCAGTGTTATACAAGATGGCAAAGCCAGAGACAAGTTTGAACTCAAGCACGATTTAACTCCATGCCTTATGCTGTCAACTCCAGAAAATCAAACTCACTGCCACTGAATCAATTCCAACTCATAGTGACCCCCATTGGGTTTCCAAAGCTGTAAATCTTTATGGAAGCAGGCTGCTCCATCTTTCTTCCAGAAGCTGGAGGGTTCAAACCACTGGCCTTTTGATTAGCAGCCAAATGCCTTAACCACTACACCATGAGAGCTCCTTCTCAACCACTATGGGATACCGTTTTTGAGAACTTGAATAAGGAACACTGGGCAAGCATCTGCAGAGGAAAATAGCATTTGTGAAGATCACAGTGATCCAAATGCAGTTGGGTGTCATGATGGCAAGATGGATAAATGTGTATAGCAAAAGGTAGTGGAAATGCAGGGCCAATGTGTTAGGAATGTGTTTATAATAGGATATTTTAATAGCATTCTTTGAGAATAAGAAAGCTCTTAATAGACAACAAATAGGTAAACATATACAGTTATTGTAAAAACGAAAACTACAGTAACAACAAAACTCAGTTGGGTATGTGTGAACAGAGAGAGCTTTCCATCCCATGAACACAGAATATACATTTTTTGTCTTATGTCCGTAGAATATTTGCAACAATAGGTAGTGGAATTGGCTCCACAATCAAACAAAATAAAAACAAAACAAAAATCATTAACATATTTTTTTAAGGTAGGGCTTTTTGTAGGCCTACCTTCTCTTATCCTAATCAATAAAATAATAACAAGTAGAGAATCATGGGATTTTCCCTGTTCCCTTCTCTCCCTTTAGGTTTAAGTTATTGAGCCAGGAGGAGGGTGAATACTTCAATGTGCCTGTGCCGCCGGAAGGAAGTGAGGGCAATGAGGAACTGCGGCAGAAATTTGAGGTGAGTTCTTTCTTTCTGTATTAATGGGATCAGCTGAGTTTGCCTCTGTGCTATTTTTCCTATTTATGGTGTGATTTCTGCCATAGCCTTTCATGACTCTGTGCCTTTGCAATGCTGTTCCATCTCCCAGAAAACTCCTATTCATCCTTCAAAACCCCAGTTAAGTGTTACCTGACTTATGATGTCATTCCTGAGTCCCTACTCTCATTCATATTTAACATTACCTTTTAAGTGCTCACTCACCCCACCAGGTCATTTTGATGGTGGCTTGGACTGGGATGATAATAAGGGTAGATGAAAAAGTACACAGATTTGTGATATATTTTGGAGAATGAGCCAACTAAGGTTGCTGATGAATTGAATCTGCATTTGGATCTATCAGCAAGATGATGCTATATTGTTAACAAATGAATTGCTTGTGCTGGTGATGCCATGAAATAACCCCATGGGTGGGAGAATAATTCTGTCAATGGCTAGTCCTTGGCCCTGGCCTTGACTTGTAGTGCTGGCTCTACTTCCTCCTCGATTAAGGTCATCTTCTTCTTTGGTGCCATATATACCCTATTTTCAGCTAATGAGAGTAGCAAGTGTAGAGGACACATCCCAGATTTACAAAGAAATTGTTTTGGGGGAAGATAGGTTTGAGTACTTTCATTAAATGTGTACTGAGTGATTTAAAAGTAGTTTTACAAAAGAAAAACACATTCTTTTGTTCACACAAACTCAATATACTGAATCTGGTGGGAAATCATCAATTCTAGATAAGCAATTATGGCCTGCTAACTCTGAAAAATGCATAAAACAGAACAGCTAAAATGAAATACATTATTATTGTTATTCATCAAACAATCACACAAGCAAATAAAGAGAAACAAACACACAACCATGTAAAAGTCTGTGAAAGAAAGGTCCATGGTGTTTTGAGAGCACAGATAGGCAGTCCTGGGCTAAAAACACCCCACTTACACACAACTCCTACTTGCCCTTTCATGCTATGTAAATTTACCCTAACTTTGAAACAACTGAACCAGCTCTTCAAACCAAACTCACTGCTATTGAGTCAGTTCCTACTTAGAGTGAC